TGACTTCAGGGATGAGATGGAGACTCCAAAAATATGGGCACAAATATGCGTCCAGAGGATGGTTGATCTGGCGAAAGAGAGCACTACTATGCGAAGAGTGTTAGACCCGATGTTCGTCTACTTTGACATGAAAAGGCAGTGGGCCACCCCACAAGGCCTGGCCCCTGTTCTTCTTTCTGACATGTCGTCCTTTGTGGAGAACCCAGGCAAATTTTTTTAATCATTATATATGTGTATTGGATATATATATTGGATATGTTTCTATATTAAAAGATTCTCCGTTTCTTTATACGAGCAATTCACATTCTTCAAACGAACTAAGGGAGTTTGAACTTGATTTTTTATTTTGTATATATTGACCAATTTGTGGGCATAAATTAATTATTCATCAGGTTTGTGCATATATATAAAATGCATACTTATTACTTTCATATGCTTACTCAGTTACTGTGAAATGCATACCTATATTTTTGTTATTGCATGTTTAGTTTGGCAAACTAATAAATCGTGAGAAATGAGAAAATACAGGAGACTATACGTATGCGACTTGCTCTCGTTTTTTTGGTTAGTTAGATAATAGGTCCTCAACTCGAAACTCTTCATAAAAGAAAGACCTTTTACTCTATACCAACTAAAAGGGTGTTTTTGGGAATGTGGAGAAGGTGGGAATTTGAGTGAAAAAGTTCCGTGTTCTTGAGAAATCTCCGCATTTGGCAATATTGATAATGGCCCAATGATAAGTTGAAGCCCATAATGAACATTACAATCATTAATTGACATGTGTTAAAAATCATTATCTTTCAAAGCCATGGCGTTGGAGATGCTCTAAGAGTATTCCTATTGGCTCCACTCCATATATATTATATATATTATATTTGTTTATATATTCTTACATACATACTTTTATTTATATATGTTTATTTATTCCAGATTGATAATAACTGTTTCTGGCAAAATTTGCTATTTGTTTTTGGCTATTTCACCTTTTGGTGTAACTTGCTAATGGCTTATGGTTGCTTTAGACTTTTTAGATTCTAATCCTAGAAACCCTGACAAGACATCTTAACATGTGATTACAGGACACCAGCAGTTAATCTTGGCCGGTGTCGTTCGGCATCTGGACCACAAGAATGTTGTGCACGATCCTCAAACAAAATGCCACATCATCCGGACTGCCAGCTGTCTGGCCCGTCAGGTCAGGTTGGAAATGGTGATCTCAGACATGGGGTTCGTTAGTGACCTCTTCAGGCATTTGCGCAAAAGCTTTCAGGCAACAGCCGAGTCGAATTCAATTGGAGAGCAGGAGTGGGATTTGAATGCAGATTTGCGGACTTGTATCGAGACTTGCTTGCTAGAAACAGTGAAAGGGGTAATGACTGAAGTGAAGGAACTTTTTCTGTTTTTTTTTTTACTCATCATTTTTCTGTTTTGCCTTCAAAAGAAAATCTTTGGTTAATTTTTCCACAGATTGTTGATGTGAGGCCGCTGTTTGATATGATGGCAATTACCCTGGAGAAGCTCTCTCCAGTTAGAGTTGTTGCAAGGGCAGCCATAGCTTCACTTATTATCCTAGCCCACGTGATTTCCTTGGCTTCTGTATCTTTCCAAGCACAGCAGGCGAGTGGCCTTTTGGATATTGTTGTAGTTATTTTCTTCTTCTCTAGATTCTTGAGGGAACATTTTGAGATATTAATGGATGTATTACTTTAAGTAACTGGGTTTTTTGGATTTTTAGATTTGCTAGTTTTTAATAATACTTCCTGCCATTTCTTTTTTTTTTTGAAGAAAGAAAACATGAGATATTTGGAATGCTGTTTCAAAAAATTATTGAGCTACTTTATATCCAGCTTAAAATTCAAGGGTTCCCTTGTAATCACATTTGTTAAATTCCATAATTTACTTTTGTTATCTGTTGATGATTTAGATAAACTTAATGTTGTGTATACTTTTTCTGTACATCGTGTTCCTAATAAATTGTCTAAGTGTAACATAATAGAAAAGCAAGCCAGAAAAAAGGCTGCATTGTGTCGATTATTTTCCCTTTGTAATTTTTATTAGTATCCAAAATTCCTTGATATGAATTTTGATGGCTTGAGAATTTTCAGGTGTTTCCGGAAGCTCTCTTCATTCAACTCCTGAAAGTGATGTCGCATTCTGACGTCGAAATACGAGTCGGAGGGCATCAAATATTCTGTGTTCTCCTAATCCCAAGCTACGCTCATGCGAAGAGCGATGCTTTCAAGAATCCAAAGTTGCATTCCAAAAATTCTTCAACATTTTCCTCAATTACGGCCCTGCTTGAAAAGCTTCGCATAGAAGTATACGGAACTAACGTGAAGCATGCAAATGAAGAAAGAGCTGAGGATGAGTGGAAGCATGGGAGGTCTCACAAGAGCTCCCCTAATATGCACATAATAAGCTCCATTGTTGACAGGACTATTGGGCCTTCTATCCTGAAAGAGACTGTAAGGAATTTTTTTCTTGGTCAAAAATTTTCATGTTGTATTGATTATGTATTCCTTAGTGGTTTTTTTTTTTATTTATTTATTAATTGTAGGAACAGATTTTTTTGCAATGCAATGAGGATCAAATGGCTCAGTTGCTTTCAGCTTTATGGATAGAAGTCAATCTACCTGATAACCTGCCTGCTAATATTGAAGCTATTGCACAGTCATTCTGTTTAGCACTTATTTCTTGTCGGCTTAAGGTTCTTACTTCAATTCATGTCTTGTATATCTTTGTATTTTGTATGTTTTCCGGGCTTTGACTAGTCACAATCCTCTTAATTTAATCATTATTATTGTTATTGATTTACTTGACAAATTCTCTTTTTATTGTGGACAAAATTCTTCCTTGTAGAATGTTTTTTCACGATTAATATTATAATTAATGTTTATTTATTTAGTTTCCGTGTGAACACAAGTTCCATGCCCCATCTTTAGATATATGCTATACAAGTTTTGGTATTTTCTTATACAAACCTGGGTTCTTTATTTCTGTTATTTTATTTCTGGCATGTGATATGATCTCCCGCTTGCTTTGGTTGCAGAACTTGAATGATACTCTGATACTCAGGTTTTTTCAGCTTCCCTTGTCGATAAGAAAGATTGCTTTGGACTCCAATCATGGTTTGAACTGTTACCAATGAATTTTTTCTCACGTTTTTGAAGTAAAATTTCAATTTTGATGCATTCTTCTCTGATTACAGGGTCTTCGCCTCCAGCTTATCGGAGGTCACTTCTTGTACTATCGACTGCAATGATGATGTTTGCTGCTAAGCTGTATCATATTGCCGAGACTTGTAATCTGGTCAACTTGTTAGTTGATTCGGATGTAAGTATTTAAATACATGTTTTGTTTTTTAATCCACATTATTTATACTTGTTTCCCTTTTTTAATGATTAGAGATTTGATCACTTCAATTTGGAAAGCTTTATTAATTAGTTTGTTTTATCCGAATTATAGTTGACTAATTTGTATTTCTCCACCATTTTACTTTTTCTAACTAAAAGTAAGTTTTCAATACTCTACAACTATTCTTTTGAATGAATTTAGGTGGACCCACATATCGGCATAAGTGACGACTTTCAAGTCTATGTAAAGTCTCAATCTGAAGTGAAAGATTACGGCTCAGCGTCTGATAATGAAGAGGCTTTGTTGACCCTGGTCAATTTGCGGGGCAAGTCTCAAGAGTCTGATAAAGTCGTGCTTTCCTTATTAGTTGAAAGTTTGTCAACCATTACAAAGGTATAGCTTATTGTAATTCTTACATTAGAAAGAAAAGAAGATTATTATAATGTTTGTTTTTATTTTTATATATTTGTTTTTCATTTGTTACTAGTATGAGTCGGAAGACATTGCTAAGCAGCTAATGGAGGGATTTGTGCCGGATGAAGTTTTCATGTTCGGCGCACAATCTATAGTGGACATGGATCACTTTCAAAGAGCTGCACACTCTAAGGGATCACAATCTTTTGATGGGGTGAGTTTCCTTTGGAGTTTTCGCAATCATTTATTCATTTTTGTATTTCCTTCCAGACAAATGATCGTAAAGTTTTGGTTGTATTTTTGTGTGTTTTTGTTTGTCCTGAAGTTTATGTGTAATTCTGATTGAGAAGAAAGTGCTAGGAACCACAACCTTACATTTCGAACCTTTGGTTGTCTGGATAGAAGCTGGTTTTCGAGTGGCTACTGAAAAGATGTTTAGATATTAATCATTTTGATTGATACAGGAGTTTTCAGCAAATTCCTTAGTTGAAGATGATGCTATGAGTATATCATCAGTTGCTGATATAACTCGTTTCATACCCAAGGTGCCTGCTTCTCCTTCTCCTTCAATGTCCCATATTGTCAGCATTGGCCAGCTGCTAGAATCGGTAATATCCCTTTCCCTTTTTTTTTTTTTTTATATATATATAATTTGGCCTTTTGATTTTATAACTTTTTTTGTAAGTATAAGGCAATTGTTTATTTTCAGGCACTTGAGGTTGCGGGACAAGTGGCGGGATCATCCGTGTCCACATCACCACTTCCATACAGCGCTATCACGAACCAGTGTGAGACATTTGGTACTGACTCCAGAAAGAAGCTTTCTAATTGGCTGGCCCACGATAATATCCCCTGCCCCAAAACTAATGGCTTCATGCCTTCTTCATTTTCCGCCACAGGAATTGAAAAGGTCAGCTCCAAACCTTGTAGGGTTTTCATTTTCTAACTACTATTCGTAAAATTGGAATCAGGTTTTGGTTTAGACTTTGGCATCCAAATCAATTGTTTTCACTTGTCATTTTCTTCGTACCACTTAACCACTCTACATCTCAGTCACCGATCACATCCCACTTAAACTGGTTTGTATTATTACTGTTTTCACTATTTATGTAAAAATATCTGTTTCAAAACCACTCATAAAAAAAGTAGTCTCATTTTCCTTATAAACATCAAAGTGTTCTCAAAATTCGTTTTCCAGTACTTGAAAACTCAATCAAACTTGTAAGTTTATTCTAGTAACTTGTGTGTTGTTTTAGTTGTCGTGAAAGAAAGATACATATATGTAATATATTGTAATAATGGATAAATGCAACCAGGTTACTTGGTATTTTCGACATATTTACCCATTAGTTTCCATTTTTCTCACTACTGTGACTTTAAAATCTTCTATTTTTTTTTTAATTTCCCTTTTTTTTTTCGCAGACATCCTGTGGCGAACCAGTTGTAGGGTCTGTGCCGTCCACAAACACTTGGCTAGCTCTGAGGCTGCCACCTGCAAGCCCTTACGACAACTTTCTCAGAGCTGCTCGTGGTTAAACTTAGGTTTGTGTATATTGTTAGGCAAGTAATTTAGGAAAAAGATTGTCTTTATTCATCGATGCTACATTATTCCCGCCTTGTTGAATTTTAGTTATCAGGATTATCCATGTTGCTTTTATGGCTCTGTAATTTCTGGCTGTTTCCGATTGCCTGAAGTTTGTAGCTGTAATTGCTGCGCACGTTTCAATTTGCTATGACGCTTAAGGACTTATTATGTGCAATTAACTTAAATTCGACACTCGTCTTTTGTTCAAGTCAGTTTATGTTCGTAGTTTTCGTTTGTTGATGACATGAAAATATGGTTACAAAATTACACCGAGGGTTGGGTCAACTACGAGGAAGCACAAAAGTCAACTGATGGTGAAGTAGTAATTTTCTTAGTAAGCAATAGATGTCTTTTAACCATGCATTTGTATTACATCCCATGAAAAACCTCTGGATTTGATTAAAAATATTTCAGCCAGTCAGTATGAAAGAACAGTTACATATTTTCCAACAAGAAATATTTTATAAAATTACTTCAATATTTATAAAAAAATGAAAATAAAATTATACTTACTTGTTGTAAATCGTGTCATTCGGTATAGCATGAATTTCTATATAAATAAAGTGGTAGGAATTTTAAAAATTATTTTGTGCTAATTATTGCAATAAAAATTTGGTTTTTCATATTAACTACGATGCAATTTATTATTCTTTTGGTAACCAACAATGCAATATGTCTTCAAAAAAGTGTGTATCAAATTAGTTATTTTTTTAGAAAATATATTTGAATATGCACAGTAAAATTGCAATATAATTACAAAATAAAAATTAAAAACCAATTATGGAAATTTTATTATGATATGTATCACAATGTTATGATAGAATCTTAATTATTAATATTAATAATAAATTATGGTGATTTCTTATTTATTTGGTAACAATCATATACCAAAATATTTTTTATCGTATCTTCAAAAAAGTCATATAATCAAGAGGATTAGATAGAATCATTTGATTTATCAATAATTCAACCGATTGAATTTATCAAAATTTGAAAACGCAAATTTTCACAATATTAAAAGAAATTTAACTATTTATCTTTTAATAACAAACCAATCTTCATCCTTAATCACAAATAATGCGTTTTTCTGTTTTGTTGGACATTCAGTCATATGTAGACCTTAATATATGTGAGAAAATTGCAAAATATAAGTCAAAACAAATTTAAAAATCAATTGCAAAAATTTTATAGGTATAACTACGACAATATTACAATAGAATTGATATCTCAACACTAATAAAAAATCTCTCCGATTTTATTCATTAGTAGCGAGCCATAACAAAAAATCATCTATACAAGAAGTTCAAGAATATCTTTTGATTTTATCAATAACTACACATATTCCTTGATTTTATCAATAACTACACCGAACCAACTTTTTTTTAAAAAAATTCATACTGTGATTCACAATATCATAATAAATCTCATATAAATTAATAGATTAAAAAGAATATATATTATTATAAATTATAAGCAAAAATAAAATAATATTGATGTAATTAAAAATTAATAAAATTTTTAACTTCAAAATAATATATATTACACTCATTTTCAATTAAGTGTTGGGTATAATAGTTGCATAATTTTTCAACTTTAACATAACTTATCTAGAAATCAAAATAAAATATTATAATAAGGTATGTTAAGGGAAGAGAGAGAGAGAGAGAAGTATTATATGAGTATTATTTACTGATAATGTCTGAATTATAAATTTGCATTATTCTTAATTATTATAAATAAAAACTCTAAAATGACAACTATTAGCGAGTAAACTAAACATATAAATCATATATTAAATTATTATATATCATAAACTAAAAGAAAATAATTCATATTTATATTCTAAACTATTTTTATACCAATCAATATTTATTTATTATTTTAATATATGAAATATATAATTAAATAGTTTATACTACTAATTAATATTTTTTTATTGTTTTAATACATGCCAAATACAATTATTCTTGTTCTGTATCAAAACAACATTGCATTTTTCCCTTACGTAGTGTTTGGTTGGGGGGTTTTAGAGGGGAGGAGAGGGGAAGGGAGAGAAAATTTTATGATTCATTTGTTTGGTTCAATTTTTTAAGGGGGAAGGGAAAGAAAATTTGAGATTAAAATCCCTCTAAATAGTAAAAATGGCTCCCCTCCAAAATTGGGAGGATTTGGAGGGGAAAGAAAATGTGAGGAAATAAATTTACTTTTTTATCCTTAGTATTAAGATTATTTTATTGTTTTATTTCTTATATCATTAAGGGCAAAATAGTCAATTATATATTATTTTTCTTTTCCTTTCATTTTTTAACCAAACAAAGTTTACCATTTCCCTCACCTCCCCTCCTACAAAATCCCTCCTACAAAATCCTTCCAAACAAGGTAAAATTATTTTATATCCCCTCTCCTCACTTTCCCTTCCTTCCATTAAAATCTCTCTCCTCCCTTTTCCTCCGTTGAATCAAACATACCCTTATTTTTTCCTACAGGAGGGAACGACACATCCAGAATCTCAGCTCACTGAAATATAAAATACCCAGCTCTAAAAGCTTTTCGCAATTCGGCTTGGTAGAGGCGCGAGGAAAATGACGATAATGAGATTGATTAGTCGTTTGATTCTCCCAAAATCGTCACCGTCTCCTGTTCCACGGTGGTTGAGCACAGTGGCTGCGGAATCGGCGGCGGAGGCAGAGGCAGAGACGGCGGCGCGGCGTAAGAAGAGAACCCGTCTCTTCTATCAAGTGGTTAATAAGGCCAAGTCCGACCTGTCGCGCGTGCCACACGTTCTCAATAAGTGGGTGAACCAAGGAAATGAGGTCGGGAGACCCGATATTCTCAACATCACTAATTATTTCCGCAATCGCAAGTATTTCAAGGCCGCCCTTCAGGTTTTTTCTTTTTTTCTACTTTTATTTTATTGTACGCCTTTGATTATTAGGTTATGGTGTAAATGTTGAAAAGTTATTGAATGTGTGCTCTTTATGTAGATTCATTCCCTTGTTTTTCGAGAACCAGTGTCCTCCCTTTATTGTTATGATTTTGTGGAACGAAATGGATTAAGATCTTATTCTATAGCTGTTATAGATGTTTATTGGGAAATACTTGTCTGTTTATCTGATGATAATTCTTGCAGGTTTTGCATATTCTTTGTTAGTGAAAGATTTTGCAATGGGGTCTAGTTGGTCCGACAATTGAAGGTTTGGGAGGATTGTCAGCTTACTTCTTTAGCAATAAATTGGTTTTTGTTTGTGTTTGATATATGTGGTTTTAAATGTATTGGGCTTCACTAGAGGCCAGATGTTAGCAGTATTTATATATGAACTATATGTATCTTTTTTCCTTAATATTATGTAACATTTACATGCTTTATAGCTTGTTTTTCGATGTTGTGTTTTCTAACTCACCCGCATCAGATCTACAGCTGGATGGAAAGCCGCAACATGGAAATAACTAATGTCGACAAGGCCGCACTCATTAACCTCCTATACAGAACTGAGGGCATAGCCTCCGCGGAAAATTACTTCAATACCCTCCAAGAATCCGAAAAGACCAGCAAAACCTATGGCGCCCTCCACTGCTGCTACTGCCAGCAGAAGCTCCTCGACAAGGCAGTCGACACTTTCGACCTCATGAAATTACTCAACTTCCTGACCACTCTAAACTGCAACAACATGCTCCGTCTCTACTACAACATGGGGAAATACGAAAACGTCTTCTCCATTGTCCAAGATATGGAGGACAAAAACGTCCCTCTCGACGCCTACTCTTACAACATGCTGATCAACAGCCACAATGCCCTCAAGAATGTTGACGCCATCGACAGTGTTGTCGAGAAAATGAAAAGCGAAAACGTGCCGGACGATTGGTTCACGTTAGGGAATCTCGCCACCGTTTATTTCAATTCGGGCTTTCCAGAGAAGGCAAAGGCTTTTCTCGACAGGATGGAAAAAACGCATGCCAGGCCAGAAAAAGATTTGATTGAGGCCTGCCGAATCCGAATCAAGCTGTTTTCCCAGATGAATGATCTGCAAGGCGTGCTTCGGGCTTGGCGGGCCCTTAAGTTGGATATCCCAAAGCCCAACACTATTTGCTACCTCTTCACGCTGATAGGTCTTGCGAAGGTCGGGGATGAGGAAAGCCTGGAGAAGATTTTCAAGGAGTGGGAGGAGAGCAAGTTGAGCTTTGACCCCAAGGTGTCGAACGTGCTCTTGGAGTATTATCTGAAACGGGACATGATGCATAAAGCGAATTGTTTGTATGCGAGTTTGGTTGAAAGGAAGAAAGTGCCCAATTTGAGGATGCTGGACTTGTTTGCAGCTCTGAGTGTGAAAAATGGTGATGTGGAGTCGGGGATGAAGCATTTGGAGATGGGTTTGGATAAGACAAAATTGTGGGAGAGCGATTGGTTTCCTTCAGATGAGACGGTTAAATTGTTTTTGAAATATTTTGAGGAGAATGATGATCCAGTGAGGGCAGGCTTGTTTGCTGAGAGATTGAAGGGCTTGAAACATGTGGATTTGGGTGCTCTGGATGCTAATGTTAAGGTTTCGGATGTCGAAAATTAGCATCTGATATCTTATTTCATTAGAGGTTAGTTTGGTAGTTGGTGTTGTGTAAGAAGATGATGTCTAATTCCGTTTTGGTACTGATTTTTTTATTGGTAAACTTGAAAGTTTCATCCTTGCCCTGCCCTGAAAGAGTTTCTTTTATAGGAAAATGATCGATTATATAAAAAAAAAAGTTCTTGAGAAAACCACTGATTAGACTTAGACATAGAACATTACACTGGAAAAAAAAGGTCATCACATGCTTATGTCTATACAACACATTTGCTAGGAGGGCTCGGCAATTCTAGCTCTGCCAATATGTTAGGTTGCAATTTTAATTTCTAAATAATTTTATTTTGTTCTGTTCTAGTCCTTCCACATTCAGATGTCACAGACACAGGTAGTACAGGACCAAAACTATAGGGGTATTAAAATAGAGACAATACTATTATAATAATTGTTCCATATGTTATGTAGGATCTCGTGACTCAGAGGTTGCGAAAATCTACAAGATCCAAGACTGCCCTAATATTAGGCAAAATATATAAGCAATTGACAGTTGCTGCAATTAATTTGCAGTTAAACCACATAAAACATTCCCATGAGTCTCTTTTGTGAACCAAAAAAAAAAAAAAAAAAACTATTTCAGATCAGAAAAAGAAAAAAAGAAGACAACTGAAAAGTATTATATTTAGAGGACAAACAAACGCAAAGGCTCAACAGATTTAAGCAATAGTAGTTTCATAGCAATCAGTAAATACTTTTCACCATATGTGCACATTGAGCTTTCCCCTTTTCGTTTTTGGTCCTCTGGATTTGATTAAAACAATGGAACCGCGAAATAAAGGAAAATGTGAAACTTTACATCTTACTCTGTGGTTTTACAGGAATAAACTCCATCAATAAAGTTTTCCATTTATATTGAACATGCTATTTTGTAGTAATGGTTTCTCATCTACTCTGTTTTCTGATAAGGCCTATAAATTAAAGCAAAAAATCATCAGCAATATATGTGCTTATGTGTGGTGTGTATCGAAAATTTACATCGACATGACAAAAGTAAATATGGTGTTGTGGTTCTTATGTTTGCTGCTTTGTAAGGTAAGAATACTTGAAGTTTTTAATTTTGTGCGACGCATTTTTAGTCTAAAAACACAGAAAGAATTCTTCTTGTGCGACCAAAATTACGAAGGAAGATTTTTTAGCCTTACTAATGTAAAATCATGTACTATCATTGATTTACGGGATGTATTATTGTCAGACTCGGATTGTTAGTTCGAAAGAGTACAAATGGTGTGTGGCTTTTAGCAAGACGAAAATTGAAATCTTGAAAAAGTACATAAAAGAGACATGCAAAACACGGCCATGCAGAGAGCATGAACCGGAAGGTCCATGTTACATAAAGCCGGGTTTTTTCAATAGGAATAATATAGTGAGAAAACATGCATCTTACCTCCTCAGCTGGGACTTACAGCAAACCGGAAAGTGTAATTCTACCATTGCCTACTTTGCCACCCAAGATCCCTGTAACGTCACTATCACTCTCTATCACCTTTTCTCCTTTACTTTTGTTTTGACAGGCCAAATAGTCTTTCAGTAGTTTACTAATTGCAAAGTATTTGATTACCCTGTGCTTAATTTATTTGCAGCTTATGGAAATTGTATTTACCCAAAGACCTTGTGTTAAGGCCTTGGCCTGCACTGCGGATTCTCCATTTCAGGCCGAAGAAAAATAGCTTCTTTGGTTGTGTCGAAGGTTTTTATAAATAAAATTAACGAGTTTCTTCATATAGTAATATATATCGAAGGAGTAAACGCTTCTATATTCTGCATCAGTTGTACGAATTGCGGTATTAAATAGAACCAATTCTGGCTTGTTGAACTCATTATACTTGCTACACAGTTAAGTTTAGATAATCCATACGAATCGTGAAATTAATATGTTGACATTAAATTTTTGCTGCTATAAAATCGATAAATAATCGTAAACTGATGCATGTAAATAAATCTGTAACGAACAACATTCGCAAGCAAACTGCTACGCAATTGTCCCCAAACTGGATTTTAGGCGGCAACATCATGAACCATATCCTTCGGCCTGAGCTCCGGTGACCTTTAACGTAATTTTCGTATTAATGTTAGGAAGTTACAACTAATAATATTTGTCAAAGTTTTTAAACCTCAATTTTCTTATTTTATTTATTTTTATTCATTATCTTTTATTTTTATACTTAATTATATCTTTAAGTTTTTGAACATAAAAATAAAAAATAAAAAATTATCCACGCAAATTTATAAATTTTAAGTATATAATCTATTCTTAATTATATTATTCAAAATTAATCTACATATGATGTTAGGGTTCATTTTGGTTATTTTAAAGGTTGTTTTTAAATGTAAGAGAAAATATTATTTTCAGGTTTTTAAAATGAAATATATGCTATTTATATGTGTAAAATATATAATACACCAATGAAAATATCATCTCTAATTTTCAAATGTTGTGTTGTTTACTATAGATATTTTTTGATATAGTATTGAAAAAAAAAATTAAAGAGGAACAATTTATTTAACATGCATATGTTTAAGAATGATTAATCAAAAATAATTCTTCAACATACAAAATGTAAAATTACTGTAGAAAAAATTATTCGTTAAGTGAAAAATATATCATCTTAATAGTAATATTTTATTTAAAGTATTCACTAAAACAATATGCATAATATGCTTTTATGTTTACATGATAATAGTATGTATAATATAATGTTTTTTTTTATATATAATACGTGTAACATAAATTAATCTACCATTTATTTTAATTTTAATATAAATAAAAATAGACTAATTATAAAAATAAATAACTACTACTCGATTTTAAACCTTGATTTAAAAAATACATGTACTTATTAAAAAATAGTAAAAATTAAAATCAGTTAAATAAAAATAAATAGTACATTTACTGTAAATTTATTGTCATTAGCCAATCTTATACATTACATCGTTCATAAATTAAATATTCTCAATCACTTTTTAAAAGTAGAAAAAATAACTATATAAAAGTATTGACGAAGATATAAAAATAGTATTAAGTTCAAGTAAATTTCCTTCTCTCTTCCCTCATATTCCCGTAACCCTAGCGCCACCTCTCATCTGTGTATGCTCGCCTTCCACAGTGGCGGTGCGGCACCGGCCGGTGGTCGAGCTCGACTGCCGCCCCTCCTCTGCTATCCCGAACCTCTAGAGTTGTTGCGGCATGCTTGCGCCAATGGGTACGCCTTGCTCCTTTTCGCCGGCGAAGTTGCGATTGGAGGCGGCGAGCTCTTCGGTCGTCGATTGGTTCGCAATTAATGGCGTTAGTTGCCCGCTGGTCGCGATTGGAGATGAGTTTTCCTCCATTTCCTTCTTCTGTTCCTATTTCTGTACCTATGCGCGAATGAAGGGCCTTTCGGGCGTTTCCGTTTTTCGATGGGTCTCCGTTGGGGGTTTTCCTATATTGGTGCCTGTGGTCTGTGGTGCTTTGACTGGTTGTGGGTCGAGAGGCGGGACGGGGCTCTGACAGGGTGTCGGAACTGAGGGCCCGATCCGCCCCTCTGTTTCTTCTAGTGGTGTTAGACGGTAGGAATCTGGTGCTCCGACGCTCGGCTAGTGGTGTTAGGCGTGCTCGGGAGGTGCTAAAGTGAGTGCGTGTTCGGTTGTCCTTCCGGTTGAAGCGGGTCGTTTTGGAGTTTGGTTTGTGTCCGGGCTCAACTTCTTGTATAGGCCTTGTGGCAGTTTCAAGAGTCTTCCCCTGGACTTGGATTATCCTTTGATATCGACTGTTCTCCGCTGGTTCGAGCTGACTGATTTGCTATTGAAGGACTTTTTTATTCAGCTGTGTTTTCCTTCTTTTGTTATGTAGTAGATTGGTTTGTTGTTCTTGTTTAATGTGTTCGTATCTGTGTTTGAGTTTGTCGCTGTATTTTAGGTTTGGGCCGTTGGCCTCTGTGCGCCCGTGGGCTCCGACACTCGGGTATTACCCTGTAGGGTTTTTGTGTTGTTGTTTTTTTTTGTGTTTTTTAGTGTTTTGAGTATTACTCCGTTGGGGGTTCTAGACGGTCTTTTGACCTGTCCTCCCACTTTTTCAGCTATTGGCTGCTTGTATTCAGTTGTTGGCTGTTTGTAATCAGTTGGTGGCTGCTCTTTGCACATTTGTGCGTTTTATATAATAACTCTATCGTTCCGAAAAAAAAAAATAGTATTAAGATAAAAATAAAATATGAAAGAATCAACATTTTATAATTCATTTAAACCGAAATTATTTATTTTTTCACATTTAGGATAATCTTGAAAATCCGTGAACGAAAAGTGTATGTATGACAATGTTAGAAGATGCAACGATAATTTTTGTTGGACAATATATGTAGATGAGTACCTTCAATTAACCAATGTTTAACAATATATATAGATAGATGAGTACCTTAAATAATCAATCAATGATGTTATTGTTTTTAATCTTTTTAAGTTTTTTTTAGAAATAATTACAACTTTAAAGACATTCTCAAACATTTATTTAACTCTTATGTTCTTATATCCAGAGAGAAAATAATAATTATTATGAAATATTATACTTGCAAATATAATTGAATTTGCAAACACTATAATCAAAATAATAGGGGACGGAATATTCATACGTAGTTGGATATCTTTCAATCAACAATAGAAAATGATCATTGCAAAGGATAGTTATAACAAATTCGAGTTATTTTTCAAAGAGTATAACGCATAAGGATGACATTATAAAACTATATTATAATGACAATAATAATGATCATTATTTTAAACATAAAGAGGATATCATTATATAACAAAATAAAAAATGACATAGATTTCTTTATCATATAAAACTTCACAAAAAATAATGTTAATTTTATTTTTTATTTTCAACCCAATATTTTCTTCTTTAATTTTATTTATCATAGAGTTCAGTTAATAATATTAAATATTATACTTATTATTCAATACATTATTATTGTTTATCATAAATACACCATTTTTTGTTAAACTAATGGAAAGATAATTATATTATAATATCAAATATAAATCTAATAATAAAAATAGTTTTAAGTTAAAAAAAAAACAACAACTATATCACGTGCGTAGCACGTGCATCTTCCTAGTAGCCTCAAAATATAGAGGGTCTACCTTACTGCTCGAAACCACGCCAACCTTTTTCACAGCCTTCCTTCCAACATATCTGCATGGAAAACCAAATATGGTGGCAGACATTTGCTGCCACACATGAGATAAATGGTTAAGTTATATGATTAATAAGACACATCAACATGA